CGTCTACTACCCTAAATATACTGAACTATACTGAACTATATATATTACTCACTGTTTATAGTGACATATTTTATGTCGGCTATTTCATGCATACTGTTTTCAATAGGGTCTTCAAAGGCACTGCCTACTGCCCTAAATATACTGAACTATACTGAACTAAATATTCTGATTAAGGTAGGTCCTTTTGATAGTATGGTTATCCTATCAACTTACGATAAAATTTGAGTTTGGTTTTCTAATTTATAGGCAATTTTACATCTCTAAAACTTGAGAATTTGTAAGAAAATACTATCTATCTTAACAAGCAATTAGCAATTTTTATGTTTTGACTAGGGTCGTTCATTATTATCTCCAAGTTTTCGTACAAACTTTAATGCAGGCTTGCGAGTAATGATCAATCTCTCGCAACTTGGGCTTTTTCTAGCTCTCCGCCGTACTGTGCAGTGATCGCTGGTTCCTTCCGGAAAAAATAATGGCGGGACTCCCGGTTTGATTAATAATGAAGGATGTTTATGTCGTCGGACTGAGAGGTACAATCATATCATACAAAAAGGATTAGAAAGACGTAATTTATTCACCGGTAGAAGTCGAATAACAACGATTATTTTCATCAAAATTTGAGAATATTCATCCCTTTGGCCGCACCAAACGTCTAGGTTATTTGGAAATCAAACCCCTATTTCATCAATCCGGCTCTATGAATATGCCCACGAAAAGCAGATTTATACTAACGCCGAAGTTGTAAACGCCTACATCTGATGAATAACCAAAATGTGCTTGGCAAACATTTATAGAACACGTAACTATCACCAAAACCGTAATGAAACAACAGTTGTGTCGGCACCTGTTCGCATTACTTCGGCTCTTCACTCATTTGTTCAGCCTATTACAGCTTCAGTTTGTAATGATCAACACTCATCTTTGTCAATGAGCCCTACCATTTTAGAATTGAAAATTAAGAATTCAATGCGCATGTCTGCTCTCAAAAGCACTGTCGACGGTTATTCGTCAACTGGATTCCTAAACATTTTCTTCTTCCTGTCCTCAGACACCACTCGTTAACACAGATTCATGCTCGAAATATCTGCTAATTGGTAGAATTTGTGAAAGATAAAAAGCGAAAAGTGCAACATCCTGCGTGTGAGAAAAACCGTTTTCTGTTTTTTTGTCTGTTTTTCATTGATTCTGGAAGTGGGATTTTGCTGCACACGAACTGTTTAAGTGGTCGCATTTGCAACAGAGGGGACAAATCGGTGTGGGACAGATCAAAGGAGAATCTTTCAGGTTGCCGCTGTAAAAAAATGGTGCGATCGTACGGCTTACTGTGGGCTGGTGTGATGCAACTTTTTCGAGACAAGAGATTATCCGTCTGCCTTGCAGTAAACCTTCCTTGCGTTTACAGCCCATCTAGAGACTGCAACCCAAACCTATGACGCCAGAAAAATAATCCAATGCGACTTAAAATGAAGGTTCATCGAAGGGATCTGGGAGCGCACAGTCATACTTCCGGAGGTTGGAGAAGTTAAAAATTCAATTTCTCGATTGAATTCGTCAAAAAATACTGCAATGGGACTTACGTTGCATTGTGGTCGTTGCTGATTTCAGTAAATATTTTATATCACCACGAGTATGCAGTAGGTCGGATGAATATTCTTTCGCTTTTTAACTACCTAAAGTATAACCCTGGCACTTGCATGCGCTGTGGGATAAGAATTCACTAATCACCCTTATTATAGCCTGTGAGCCGTGTTAAATGATATAAGTATCAGCAGTGCCCGGACGTTAACACTGAAGAAGCTGTATAGTTAATAGTAAGTGAAATACTGACAAATGCATATCCCCGGTACGGCAGAAAACTAGAATGTTTAACGGCATATAAAGTCAGTGGTTAAATGTTTAGCACAATTTCGAACTACGTTTCCCATTAGCGGGGGTTAGTTAAGTTGGCTTTTACTATAAAGTACCTGATAGTGTACTCCCGGGCAGTTTAATATATGCCAGGATACTCGCTTTTGAATGCCATATCTTTTCAGCATTCTGTGAACACGGCAGTCAGTGAAAGAAGGGATAGGAAAGTAGTCTCCACTTTTTTCTGTTGCTTACCATTGCCATTGACAAGTCAAATTTATTTCGTGAAAATCGTAGTAATATTTTTTTCTTTCTTTTTTCTTTCTTTTTTTTCTTTTTCTTTCGTAGGTAGTGACGTCTTTGTCAAATTTTGTACTCAAAGGAGGGCAATATTTACGTTATAAAAGCTTTTCTGATTATGGGAGCTTTTAAGACCGTACAATTATTATACCGTTATTAATGGTCTTCGTGAAATAAACTCATTATTCGCCAAAGATTGGAATTTGACTCAACGCTATATTGTATCCTTATATTTTCAATGAGACATTTAATATTTTCCTTTAATCAAAAATAGAAAGTTTCATACACAAAAATGTAGTAGTAGATAGGGTTAAACATTATTCCCTAAGTTTAAAATATTGTTAAAACCTTATTACACCCTTTGAAGAAAACATAATTTTCTACCAAAGTATTTAGAAAAAAAATATATTTTCACATTTTCTACAGAATATGTTTGAATTTAAAGAGGCATCGAAAGTCAGTAGACAAATGTGTTCCACTCACACGGGACTTTTCATCAAGTCTGGTTTGTGCTGTCGAGTAAATAGATGTGCATCCGTCCTCTTGTGTCTGAAGTAGCAGTGGATGACGTTGCTACTTAATTAAGTACTTCTATCTGGTCAAAAAGGCATTCTAAGTGTTTGGTGAGATCGGCGACCGACCTTAACTACATTAAAATCCAATTCACAGGGAAAAATAACTTCACAGGCATTTAAGATTGGCTAGGTACGTCGACAATATTTGGGTGTTGAAAGGAGGGTGAGATCGAGGCTACATAGACTAACTTCACGATAATTCAACTAAAACAAACAAATATGATATCAAAGAAAAATACAGCTTTAAGAAGACGGGTGATGGAGGAAGGCAAAATGAAGGACGATTTTCCAACCTGTACATGCAGATATATCTGAATAAAACACATTCTACAAGTTTAATGCATATCGCTTCCAAGAAATGATAACATTATCAAATTGCCCTGAGGTTAGCGGAAACGTTTAAAAAGACTCTCCTCAGTAAACGTTTAAATAGATAAAGCGATTTCTCCCGTCGGTCCTAATCCCTTGATGAACTAACACTACTCGCCGACCTACCGTTGAAGAAGAGTGGAAAAAAAATTTACTCTCCAAGGTAGAAAATGCACAAACAATACTAATTATTTATAGATTGGCCAAGCGTGGTCATAACCCCCCCTGTCATCAAGTCTCCTCAGAGGATTAGCTCGGCTGAGGACGGCCGGTGCAGTTTTCGTAGCAAAGCAGTTTCCGCGACGAAAATACGTACTCGCTTGTGTTGACTAACTGTAATGACTGTAGGGTCGGTCTTACAGCGCGCTCGGGCAACTTCATGCAAGCCGACCACACCTCAGCGGCTTGCTTGTCAAATAAGCGGCGACTGTAAGAGAAAATGATTCCGCGAGATGCGAAGACAGGTCAGCGCAAAGTACAAATGGCTTTGAACTAAATTCCAGGAAGAAGAGTTTTAAGACTATGATTAAGTTAAATTTAGAGTGAACGGCAAATTTAAGAGAGAGCAACAGTTGCTTAAGTAGTGCACCCCGTATACCCCTAGTCCCAGCATTTTGTCCTAGGGAAACGGTGCCTACATAGGTTTTATGAGTGGAGAATTAGGATAGGCAGGGGAATATACTTTAATAACTGCTATATGCATTTCTATTTTATTGTATTTAGGAATTTTTTTGATTTATAAGGGAAGACTTTCCTAATCTATATTATCGTTTAACGTATTGCGGAAAAATCCGATTATCAAAATTCAGGCTTCTTAAAATTCCTGTCAAATAGAAATGCTGGTCAGGAGGTCATCTATTTTAATTAACCTGATGTCCAACTTTTCATTCTGGAGTTAGCTTAGTATGGCACGGGGCGCTGAGCGCCGCGCACAACTTCAATTTATATACGGAACAACTTACTCCCAGCGGCCGCAAGGAACAAATGCAACAACATTTTTCAACTTAATATCTACTTCTACAATTTTACTCCACTGTCTATGCAATTTCCCTGCCCCAAAACCCCTTCAACCACCGTTTCCGTAGGACAAAATGCTGGGAATAGGGGTAGGAAGAGGTGCACTATTAAAACTACCTTTGCCTAAGAAAGAGATAGGTTTAAGGTTAGAATGTGGGAGTAAGTAATCTACGTGTAAGTTAGCGTCGATTCCTTTCTATGAAAGAGGACGAACGAACGACTTAGTGTGTAGACGCCATGAGCAAAAGCAATGCCTCAGCAAGACCTGAACATCTGACATTAAAAGAATAGCTGGCATGATGGTCTTCAAATTGACGACAAAATCCTATTAGAATGATTAAAAAGTCAGCCTAAAATTGACGCGTACTGATGCGAGAAATTGCATTGCTGCCTGGGGATCCATGACCACGCACACAAGCTGCATTTCGAGAATAGCAACATTCGGTTTCAGTACATAGGATTTAATAACCATCACCGCCCTTTTTGAGTGCATTGAACAAAACGGGGAGAAGAAACTTTGACATAAAATGTGGAAAAGAGTAGACTTAAAAGCAAGGAACGCAATCAAATGAAGAGTAATTTTTTGTTTTATGAGCGTTTTACAACTAACTAGAATTTCAGCATCTCTCAGCTGAGCTGAAACAACGGTATTGGTCTAAAAGCATCAGACTTGAGAGTAATGAGCTTGCCATTAATCGTGGAACGGAGGATAAATGTGTGTCCACCAGAAACAGTATAATTTGCGATCGCTTGAGCAGGCCATTTGTGGACATGACATTTTGGACGCCAATTCTCAACTATCCTCAGAGCCAAAAACTAACGCTGGTATCGATCACGGCAATCAAGCAAGTCTCCAATGGAATGAGCAAAGTCCTTCAAGGGGAGGTAGACGCGGGGGTTGAGCACGAACTACACAAAGATAGGAGATCACTCGTCGCAAAAGATTCCGGATTAAGGATACGTGCTACTGGCTTAGAGATTAAATTCTCAACTCGCGGAACGATGCTTAATAAATGGCGCAGACAGACCGTAGCATTCAATCATATGTATAGAAGAAAGCAGAGGTTTTGACCTTGAGAAGAGCAGACATTTGATTTGTATTCAGCGAAATATAGTGAACGCCGGAGACCAAAATGAGGCGAAATGAAAACGAAGACCTTTAGTTACAATTCCGAGGAAATCTCCACTAAGTGTCTCAGTGCTTAAGTGTTCATGGGGATCGCAAGGTTTTTGCTATGCACTTTTTACCATACCGGAAAGAAAATAGCACACATAACGCAAACAAGTAAAATGGGTTTCCTATCTCACTATATTTTAGTTAGTGATCTGAATGTTAATTATGTTTTATATGACTGGTTGTATGCTCCCATAAATAACCTGCGGTAAATTGCGGCCAGAGGCACATACAAACGTTGCCTATATATTACAGTATGTTTGCAAGTTCCGTGCGGCAAGAGAACCATAATTGAGAAACTACTCATACATCTAAAAACAATTATCTTTTAAATTTTGTTTGATACCATCCTACCTTCAGTTCTAGGATTAACTTTGTGAAACCCCATCACACTCAAAATAGCACCAAGCATATGCCTACAAAAATCCAGGTGACTAAACCCAGCTGCGTAGAAGATGGTCGTCTTTTACATGGATGAGCGCGTTCTAGCTTGCTTCCGGTATGAAAAATGAGCGTTAGTTTGCTCGACGCAAAATGAGGTCAGTTGATCTGCTCGATGGGACAGAATCTAGGTATTGGGTTGCCAAATCGTTATATTTACTGAACTAATATTTTACTCTTGGTTTTCTTACATATTCACTGAAGAGAATCCGCATTCTAACGCAAATGTTTGCTACAGATGGATGCATTTTATTTCAAAAGACATTTCTCAAACATAAAAATGCACAGAACGAGTGCGCAAGTATTAAGATATTTGTGGTTTTCCTGCAAATAAAAACTCCCGTAGTGTATAAGGCTACATAAGATTGGCAAATTCATCAGTATTCTGCAACAGCTATACAGTATGGCCAGTTGCGAAGTAGAAGACAACTCGATGACTGGGACGATATGTTTAGTCGCCTGACGTTTCGAAAACCGTCGCGGATTCACCATCATAGACACGCTCACAAAACAGAAGCAGAAACAGTTTGTGTCGTCTTTTACTTCTAAATTACTTCCTGGGACTCGCATGTTCGCTTGTATTAGCAGAATAGCGAGTGCTACATGTAACATGCCTAAGTTTGTTAAAGTTATATCATTACTCGCATACCGGCGTGAACGCATTTACGAAAACTTTGAAATAATAATGAGCAGCATTAGGCAAATTAAGTACTTAAAATAACTATAAAAAGTACCTAATCTTTATAAAGAAAAATAAAATTTTCCGGAAAAGTAAAAAATTTCTATAAATTAGAAGAACGGAACAGACACAAATATGATAAGTGTTTAAAAAATATCCATATATATGGTTGGTCTTTTTTGCATTCGTAAGCTTATAAAAGATCGAAGAATTAATCCACTTATGCGGAAAATAATCCGTTAGAAAGATAAAAGTAAGTTCGCTCATTTCCATTCCAATTGAATCGTCGATTTTCAGATATATTGTAAATTGACTATGGACCTGGAGATCAATGATTCAATTGGACTGAAAATAACAGAACTTACTTTTCTCGTTCTAATGCATTATTTTGCGCGTAAGTGGGTTAATTCCTCGATCTGTTATAAGCTTTCGAATGCAAACAATACAAGCTATAAATATGACCATTTTTGAAATACTTATTGCATTTCTGTCTGTTCCGTTTCTAAATAACCCATAAGCGGAATGTATAGTTTAGAAAATGTATATTTCGACATGACTTACATCAAATAAGGCCCTCTTTACATTACCTTCGCGGTAACATATGCGGACGCTTTGCCTATTCGCCAAAATAAGCGTTGTGGTAAAAAAATACGAAGAAAGCTTTTTGTTACTGCATTTTGTGTAAAAAATACTTCACAGGTTAGCTAAACATAATTTTAAAAAATGAGATTGTTGCCTGTTTCTGAAAATAAAAAATGTGATTCCGTAAACTTTGCTTCACTTGCATCTAAACAATTCTGAATACTATTTTCCTGTGCTGGAAGGGATAATTTTACCACTTTTTTAGTTATTCTGGAATTCTTCCATAATTAATAAAAATTTTCCTTCTGTCGCACCTTATAACATCGAAAATTTTTTCAATATGAACTTGCTCATGGTTTAGCAAAAGTTTGTGCCCATTTCGCTCCATAATTTTTACTTATATGGCAGTTTTCCAAACTAAAGTCTTTTTTATTACTTAATCCACTTAATTAATCAAAATACACTGTCCAAATGTATGCTACGCCACCCAGTTAAATTTCATCATACAAATTGCATGAAGTACTCGCCATGCTGTATAATATGCTAGTAGTCCTCGTTTTAGTCAACCTCTAACTATTTTTGTAGCTTTAAAACCATTCACTTTTGAAGACCAGTCCTGTTGCAAGGGTGGCGTGCGTGAAGCATTTAATTAGCCTCTGGCCCGGAAGGAAAAAGTCGAAGCTAGAATTTATTGGCAAAATTTTTCATTTTCAGTGAAAATGAGTTGGAGGACATTTAAAAGTCTAACGCACGGACCTGTTATCCGTAGAACAATGCAGTCTTATTTGCGATGTTTTTTTTTAAAAAAACACTTTAGGTTCCTCTCTCCGGGGAAAAAAACAACCGACTTCAGAATATAGAGACGTCTTCGCCATCCAATAAGGTTTAGGTCCTTTTGGAGGAAAAAGACGCAAAACGGAAGTTAATGAAAAAATAAAACAAAGAAGAAGATGATGAAGCATACACAAGTGACGAATACACATATTTTTTCCCACGTCCGCTGTACGTCAAAGATCTAAGGCGTGGTTAAAACGCAGAAAAAGCAGACACTTCAGAAGCAGACTGGCCGCCCCGCAACAACCCCCGACATCCTTTTTTCGTGGAAGTTGTAAAACTTAACCTGGTCTAGTTTAAAGTAACCAGTTGGCTATAGTTGCTAGGGGGTGGTGAAAAAACAACAAATTGTAACTGCTTTAGGGCGTGACTCTGAGCTTCCTCTATGCAGTCGCAAAATGTGTTGTATCCCTGTCGTTGCTTATGGGCGCGCGGTAAGCCATCGTAACGAACATAGAAACCATGCGTTAAATGCAAACATATGATGCAGGCTAGCCACCCTGCGCATACCTTCCAGCAGCTCAGAGTGAACTCCTACGTTTTTTTGTTTGTCGCGGTGCTTTTTGCGTCGGTTTAAATGTGTTTTCTTGCGGAATGGAAAGTGGTGCTTCTCAGATCTATATTTTAGCCTATTCGCCGCGTGACCAGAAGTGTCCTAGGAAACATTTCGCGAGCGGATAAGTGAGATTACAAGAGTTTTGGTCAGTTTATATTCCCATAGTTTGTTATGCTTAGTGAGCAGTTAAAGTGTGGTAGGGTATATTGTGCGGATTGGAGAAGGTATAGTGTATCAGGAAGAAATGCTGCAAACTCCTGTGCATGTATTACCCGGTTCATGCTACTGTTTTCTGCTAATGTTTCTGATAGTGAATCTTTGGTGGATGTCGAAACGTCAGGTGAATAAACGTATTGTCCCAACGATCGAGTCATCTTCTCAATGCATCAGTTCGCTGATCGGCTGCAGGAGACCGAGAATCCACGCCCTGAGAGCAAGACTCAACGAGGGACACGGGTATGCACTCACCAACGCACTTATAACTCGTTAACTGAGCAGAAACTCTTCAAGCGAAACACATTTTCTGCTGGTGACGGTCGTTATTCAAGGCTCCATTATACCGGAAAAAATTTTTGCAATAAAGTTATTCTTATTAGTAATAGTCGTAGTAATAGTAGTATTGTAAAGGTAATAGCCCTACCTGAAATAGTTAACCGAATCTGGGCAGCGTAGGGGTTTTTAGGATCTGGTCCAGCTGTCAGGTGGTAGCGCGGATCCATCCCAGGACGAATGATTTCGATCCGGTCACCCAGACGTTGCTGGGCCAGGCGACTGTCCAACAGGCGATTCTCCTCGGTCGTGTCAGCACCACTGGCAGGATACTTTGAAGAGCCATAGAAGTTCGACGTGGAGGAAGTGGATGCAACATCAGGCTCAGTACCAAGGAGGGCTCTCGCCATGGGTGGTGGAGGACGATTTATTTGAGCTGACTTGAGGCTGTTGTATTCGGCCAACTCTTTCAGACCAGGGCCTCGAAGCAGACGTAGTTGCAGCCCACCGGGAATGGACAGACCACCAAAAGCCTCACAAGAAAGGCTAGCATTTTCACTGGGATAGCCGGTAGCGTAGAGTTTGGTGCCGGCAGCAATAAATTGCGGATGCATCACGATGGCAGGCAGCGTGCTAGGTGGGGGAGGGGGGAGATAAATAGTAACGATACATGGACATACAATAAACAAGCTAGACAACGAGCCAGAGGCTCAGTGATTACAGCGTTAGACTTCTGATTAAAAGGTCGTGGGTTCGAGCCTCGGGTGGGCCACCACCTGGAGGTTGAGTGTGACTACCTGACGGTGGATAGTAAGCCAGGGTGTTTCCCCAGGCTTCGTGCAGGGCTGCTCTCACCCTTCTGAGATTAAAGGTCAGTATGCCTATGCAATGCCAGACTTCAGTAAGCCATGGTCCCTGCGGCCTGGTAGGCGCTGGCGTTTCCTCTGGGTTCTGACTCCCTGTCAGTGCATGCATTTGCGCTCCCACTGGGTTCCGTGCCCCACCTGAGGTAACCGATCAGCTAGGCGGTCGCTAGACGGTGGGGGAGAGAGTAAGGTCGACCCTCAGCGCGCTTCTTTCCTCACTATAATCAATCCGATGCGCTTGAATCTATCAAGCAGTGGCTTGAAGGGTTTGCCAACTGACGGGACAACTCGGGCCTTCTACGTTGCTGCTCCTCCAATACGCGTATGTTTGTGTGTGCGTATGCGTATGCGAGGTGATGGAGGACTGAGAGTCAGGCTGCAATGGCTCTTTTTTAAAGTGGCTTTTATGGCGCTCCCGCGCCCGCGGGAGCCTTCCTAGCAGGCTGGCTGAGTCAAGTGAGCGCGGATTGAGTGAAAATCGTGCCAGCCACCTACACCCTCCCTCATCCCCGGTCTTATTGACTTTGCCTTTACACCGGAAACGGAGGTGGGAGCGGCGAGCGAGTGGGTAGAT